TGGATCATAGCAAGTGAAATATGTTTAATTACATGATTAAGTATAAGCTAGCTAGTGGACTTACCTCTCAAACATCTCTGGGCAACGAACCAGGAAACTAATGAACTTTTGACAATATTTAATACGGACACAGCAACTTCGTAGAGAATTGAGAAAGAACAATGTTTTTTTTTTTTTTTTTTTTTCTGTTATGATTTGATGAGCTCCGAGGAGAATGAGATCAATTATATATATAAATACAAGACTCAAAAGATTGAGAGCACTTTAAGTTATTCTAAACTTATATCACTCAAAAGTAAAAATCAATGTAGTTAAATATTTTTATTCTTTGCTTCAACACACATATACTTTACAAAAAATTAAAAGTGAAAATTAGAAAAAAAAAAAGAGAGAGTAGAAAATGCATCTGAATTGATTTCCCAATAAGAAAAGGATATTGGCCCGTATTCTTCAAGGAGCTCCTGAGAACTTTCAAACGGTCCTACTGCATGATGTGTTTAATCTTTGAAGTTTAGATAGCTATATGTAATAATACTAAATTAGAGTTATACCAATTTGAAAATTAAATGTAATCCTCAAAATCTTAACAAGTTTTGTTTCAAAATTTGTAACTTTTTATTTGTTTTCAAATTTTATTATTTCTAATATCATTAAAAGTGAAGAGATGATTGATTCAAGATTTCATATAATAGCAGTGCTAGGGACATTTGGTTTTTGCACTTTAAAGCTTTCAACGCAACCTCTCGGAAACCAAAATAATTTGGCCCAATAAAAGAGAAAGTGTTGGCAAGAGAGTACAGGAGGCGAGTGCTCTTAGCATGGCTCTTTTATATAAATGTATTGTGTAAAACTTGTATGTAAGTGGGTTCTTGCTATATATATATCTATGTGATTCCCTTCCCTTGTTTTAGTAATAATACTTTAATAATATTATAGTTATAATATCACGTAATTTTAACCATTTTAGGTAACATTAAATATAATATGATGTGATATTAAATGAGTAAATGTATATAATATTATGAGTAAATTTTTGAATTTAAAAAAGTTAATTATATAATAATATATCATGATGTTACCTTATAATTAATGCCACATGATATTGTAAATATAATATTTCGATAAGACCTACAAATTGCTTAAGCATCCTATGCATGTGTTACACGACCAAGTAAAAGTTACACAAGATGGCAAAAAAAATTTAGGAGCTAGGATGAAATGAAGATCCCCAATCACATGCTTTTCCTCCATATGTTGAAAAATAAGAATATCTAACTAACAAAGTCTCATCTCATGTTAACTTTAAGTGAATAGCTAGTAAAAAAAGTTAAATTAATTTCAAGTATTAGATTTCTATCTTGTCCATCCAAAAAGAAAAAAAGACTACCTCCCAGCAGAATGATTCCCCGGTCTTCTATTTACGTAAGCACAGATTGGGTAGCTATATTACACATGCTTAGGAAAGCTTTCCAATTCCCACGCAGAATTTCCCACCACCAACGTTCTAAGAGTACCATGGGCTTCCATACTTATATTGCACGTAACATACCTTGGTTGCCCTCATACTATCACTGCCGCTGCTTTTGACGACAAATCCATGTTTTCTGTTATTTAGTTATTTATGGGTATGCCAATTAGTTGAAACCCTCGTAAGAGAGAAGGGAGAGGAAAGAGAATGATTATACGGATAAGAAAACACCTTTTTGTTAATAGTTTGACTTGTTACTCTATTAGTCTTTCTCATCCATGTTTGTTGTTTATGTCATTAATTTGTCATGGACCAGTTCTTGGCTTTCCCTTACTGATCCTTCCTCTCATTTTAGTTGGAGCAATTAATATTGACATCTGATCTCACTACTTCTGGTGGTAACGTCTCACTACTTCTGCTTGTATATATTCTTGGAAGAAGACAGCCCTAAAGACAGTAATTTCTTGCAATTCCTTAGTGAGAGGCAATTAAATTCACTACTGTTATGGGGCCTTTTTCACTCCCATTTGCAACATAAGTTACAAATTGGCTTTGAACAGGGTATACAAACATAACTCTGCCAGCAGTATAGGATAACCCATTGTGTATGATAGATGTGAAATTACCAAAAAAAGAAAAAGCTAATGATAAAATCCATAAAACTAACAAGCAACTTTGGGCATAATATCAGATAGAAAAGTTATAAAATATATTGAAAAACAGGATATAGGAGCCCTTGTCTAGTTCAAAGTTAGTCACATCTAAGAAGGAAAAACTGGAGCCAAAGCAAAGTAGCTTCCCACTTCCTCGTTGGCTATATCTTCTGTAATTGAGCTGAGGGGAAAGCTGTTTGAAAATTTATTATCTAAAGCAGCAAGTGAGACCTGATAGCACAATCAGAAGGACAAGCCAGGAGCAGAAATTTAAGAATGATAACAACTTTGGATTGGGCTTTCATGTGGGTAACAACTTTGTATTGGGCTTTCATGTGGGTAACAACTTTGTATTGGGCTTTGATGTAGGCATATGAATTAAAATGACCAAAAACTAAGGCCCAAAAAAAAGGAAGCTTTGTTCGCCTTCAGCGCCACATGAGATTGCGCTGCATTTGGATTGCTGTGCAAGTGCAATGTCATCCAGACAAAAAATTCTTCGCGTGAAGGGAATATGACGGTATCATGTCAGCGAGATCCCCAGTCAATATGAATTTGATGACGTGTTACAGGTTTCATGTTAATATTTATTTTTTAAATTTGATTATATATTGAAGAGTAATTTTAATTTTTATATTTCAAAATATACAATAAATACCAGATGCAAATTTACTAAGAAATTAAGAAAATAACATAAATTACATTGCCCACTTTTTGAACTATATTATACATTATAATTTATACACAAGACATAAGGCCGCCAAGCTTACAGCTATTGGTCACGTTTCTCATTGGATTCAAGACCATGGAAGATAACTTTAGGACCCACGAAAAGCCGGATAAGTGAGAAGAATTCAATGCCTCCTCCTAGCTGAGGTCCAACCAAACAATCTATAATATGACAATTAATTATATTAGAAATGACCAAAAGAAGGTGAATATTTACTGATTATACTGCTACATTTTGTATTTAGAACTATGAATTTAAGCTACCAGAAATAAATATGTAGTTAATAGACAACAATAGTTACAACAAATTTAACCTATAGCTGATTATCATTTTGATAGTTATAAGTAATAAATTCTCAAAACTAATTTACAGTTTTAACTTTAATTTCTAGTTTTGGTAGCAATATTTGATTTTCTAGCTACGAAGTTTTAGCTATAGGTAAATTCTATAGCTAATTTTTAATTTTGCTACAATATCAAAATAATTGTAACAATTATAGATTTATAATAAAATTAATAGTTATAAAAA